AGGACTTCAAAGCTGGTAGTAGCCCTGCCAACTTTGCTGTAAAAGAGACTTAGAGACTATACAGCTCTTTCCTTTCACAAAGAAATGGGCTTCTGACATGTAAATTTGGTGGTAAAAGGAAGTCAAACCACAGGATATGGTTCACAGAGCATATGTGCTACAGAAAACAACATGTGTATGTTTCCCTGAAAGAAAACAGCTGAAAGTACAGGGAACTGGGATGATAGATGAAACAGACAGACAGACAGAGACAGAGAGAGATCCTCATCATATGAAATGTGACTTGGAAAGAGTCATTTTAGAATCTGAAAGGGTTAATATGGAAAGATGCGTTCCAATGTTCAAAGTGCTTCCAGATACACAACTCACAATGCTATCACCTAAATGACATGAAAGTGATTTTTCTTTTCTTCTCTTCTTAATATACGAGGATCAAGATGGACATCTTTTGAAATCCAGAAGGACCAAATGAGAAAGATCTTTCTGCAATCCCCTGAGCCTTCAAAAGTACACTGCCCCCAAAATAGCAGTGTGGCTTTGCTTCCACATTTGGAGAGGAATGGAAAGGAAATAGTTTGTTTACTGTCCATATGGCTTAAAAGACCTAGAAAGGAAAGAGACACATCGCTAGATCAAAAAAAAGGGGGGGGGGAATCAAATTTTCACTTGACACATGCTGTTGATGTCATGATTTGACTTCTCTGTCTTAGGAACTGAGATTGCCAACTGAAAATAAAAATCATAAACACGGCTCATAGCTTCTGTATTGCTTTAAAAACAAAGGACAATAAAGACCAAAATGCTACTAACTGAAAAGAATGGGATATTCTGAACAGACAGGGAAATATATGAAGATGGCATATACAGTTAAGAATCTGCAGAAGATCTGAAGAAGGTGGAGAGACTTATCAGAAGAATAATTTGTCATTAACCTGACTTGCTGGTACTTCTCTGATGGGAAGAGATCTAGAAATATAACCTATTTTCATTCCTGAATGGGGCTGCCAGGTAGGGAACTGTATGAATTTCACCATGGATTCTTGTTCCATGGTTTTGATTCCCAGAAGGGTAAAGGATGAATGTTACCTGAAATAAAACCTGGTTATTTTTCACCTCTCACCTTAAAGAACAAAGAAACTTACTCCCTTTTCAAAATATATGAAGCTTCTTCTAACTCCCCACCCCTTTTGCTACACTCCTTGGAATGACTGTCTGACCATGCAACATATTTTCCATATTGAAATCCCTCTGGCATTCAGGTGTTCATCTTTGTCCATAGAAAAAAATGTTCTCAGGTGTTATCTTTTCAAGAAGAGAATATTTGCAATTACAGTACATCTTATATTACTAGTGTGGCTTAGCATCCCATCATTCCAATGTAGATGTAAGGATAAACTCAAGACAAGTAAAATGAAACAAAAGTCATGAATCCAAAAAACTGGGGAGTCTCTGGATGTCAACGGAGTGAAATACTTCCTGATGTTTAGAGAACATTTCCTATTATCCCAGCCCAGATGGTCATCCTTCTTGGTATCAGACATTGAGGGGCTTCTAGTCCAAGATGTCCTAAAGGTTAATATGATTTTCTACATCTCATTTCCATTGCAAAGTTGATCTGGATGCAAATTCAACTACATTCAGGGACCTTAATCCCAAAGAACCATTGGAACTTTCATTTCTGAGCTCACCTTCATTGTGTTCTCTCCCCTTGTATATTTTTGATTGGCTTCTCATCTACTTCATTCTTGTTCTTTAAAACAATGGACATGTATTTCTAACTTTCTGCCCACAAATCAGCCTGAAGATGAACAAGAAAGTAGGTGGAAACTCTTCTAACAGGGACAGGATCATATCAAGCATGACCGAGATGGCCATTGACATTGAATTTCCTGTCCTAAATCCTTGCCAGAGTTTGTAAATTCTCCTGGCTCCACCATGTACATTTTATTCTCCCTTTGAAAGTTTTTGATTGGCTTCTCATCTCCTTTGTCTCACTGTGTCTCTGAAGGCACAGAAGTAGACAGCAGAGTCCTTCAGTTGGCTGGCTGTTTTCTCCATATGGAAAGTCCCTTTCTTCTTGCTTTCATGGGAGATGTGAGTAGTCTGGAAGCCTTGAGGCTGATTCTCAGACTCTGTCAAAAAGAGCTCCAGAGGCTGACCAGGAGACTGAATGTACCAGTATGTGGAAAATATGCCAGCATTCCCTGCTTCATAGGAACAGTTGAGAGTGATAGGTTGACCCTCTGTGAGAATGACAGTGCCAGTCGTTTGCTCCACCGAATCTCCAGCACTGTGTCCTGTGGAGAAGACCTGAGATTACATGGAAGGACAGCAAACTTCCCTCCACTCGGGACACCAAAAAAATATTCCCCTCTTTTCTCCCATCCTTCCATTCTCACATTTATCCCCATACAGATTTCATTCTTGTTCTTTAAAACAATTTTTAAAAAATGTTTAGATTAATATTTTTCTTCCTTCCTCTTTTTATCTTTCATTCTGCTCTATCCCTTCCTAAGAGACAGAGAGAGAGAGCCAGACAGACAGACAGGGAGAGAAGGAGAGAGAGAAGACCATTTAAACAAATACATACAGGTGCAAGAAGGTTTATGTCATCTTTGGATGGTCATCACTTCTTGACCTTCAGGAGGAGGTTTGGCATCAGCAAACCTTCAGGGCTGCAATGAAAGATTCTAGAGTCTTCTCTATTTCCACTGGTCACCCTAAAGGTATTTTTGGCAGCTTCACTTATTACAGTCTTTTTAATACAAATATTGATTCCTTTAATGACGTTTTGATCAAGAGATGGGGTTGCTTCCTCCCCCCCAAACCCTCCTGGTATTCTGCAATCCCATTTTGCTTCAGTGGCAGTTAATACTTCAAATGCCCCATTTTTTCCGTTAGGTCCTCAATACCACAAACATGTCAAGAAAGAGTCTAAATGAAACTCAAGGAGTTAGTTCTTCAACTGCATGGCTGTTAAATCCTATAGTTATAGGAAGAGAATCAGGATGAAATATCCAGCAGAGGTGGACTTCCAGAACCCACTCTGGTTTTCTCCTGGATGCCCAAAATCTTCCATCAGAAAATCAGACAAATCCAAATTCACAAGAGACTGGTTTTGCTTGTTTCTTTTCTGATCTAGAACTGAAGGCAGCAGGAAGGCTCTTAGTCCGCAAATCGACTAATTCTCCTAAAATTAACATGACTAATCATGAATATTACTCATTACTCGTAGTTCAACAAGGTAGGTTTTAGGAATGTTTTTCCTAGGGAGCAGATATCCTCAGTCATTTGCCAGAAATCCCTCAAAGGGATCCAATACCTCCACTTTCAGTGACCCTTGATTTAGCAGATCCACAGGAAGCTGGAACATCAAAATCAACATGAAAGATAAAAATTTTCTGAAGCATGGAAAGGAATCACTTACTTAAAAGTGACGTGATGAATCCAATGCATACCCAGATGAGGGACATGGATCAAGGAGAGGAGATCCACACACACAAAGAAAAAATTTGAAGGATCAGTCTAATTCTCTACATCAACTTCTCAGTTGGATGAGAAAGTTAGATATAAGCAGCTGACTCCTTCTCAACTGAATAGCTTCTTCATTTTTTTTTTTTTAAAGGAGCTTCACATAAAAGTACTGTAAACCACCGGATGTGGTTGGTGGCCAGATCACCCCAGTGCCATGGAGAAAACTCCAGATTTGGCACTTAAAAAGTCAAGGGTAAAGCTGTGGTATCTCAGGAGTGCCCCCCGGTGTCTACACATGGTATGCCACTTTCAGTGATCAGAAAACAAATTAAAATGTTCAAGATTGTTCCAGAGAGAGAGAGGTTATACAAGTGTTCCACTTTTCTTCCTTAATGGAGAAATAACAGGGTGGGAAATGTAGGAGGATAACAGGAAGAAAAAATAATTTTTTTGCAACTTCACAATCTTGCATTGATTAAACTAGCAATGTGGTTTTCCTGCAACATTTCAGCAAGAAATTAAAAAAAAAAAAGTTGTATAGTTCACCAACAAGCTTAACACACCTGTAAAAGCAAAATAATCCTCAGCTCACCACAAAAAAAAAAAAAGGATGAAAGTGGGCTGAAGATTGGAACCACATTCTCAATGACATTGGTTCCCTCCCCTAGGCAACCCTTAAGTACAAAAAGGGGCTTCTGCAAGTTAACCCTAAATTGTCCTCCCTGTATTGGGATGAAGCCAGAGTGCTGTGAAATGGACAGTAACAGATATTCATACAAGTTATGAAAGTAAGAGAACCTGATGCTCACATGCCTTCTCTGCCATGGTGCTTACCCTTTTTGATAGCACCCATCCAGAGATCCGGTGGGCAACGAGTCCCACTGGAAGCTTGTCTTAACTGTGACTGGACAAACCAGAGGCTGCATGAAAGCTTTGCCCAAAACGATTGCCAAAAACTAACCAGAGGGAAGTTTCCCAACCTGGTCATTTCTAGGGTGGCTCCTCAGTCATGATGCTGTTTCTGGTCCAGCATGTCTGCAGGGAGGGCGTTGATAGGGGTTCACGCAGGACTGGAGTAAGGCCAACTGATGCCCTAAGCACAGCCCAACGATGCTACCTCTTGACGGAAGCGAAACTCTCACACCATGAGATGGAAACAAATGTGATATCTGATGACACCTTCAAACCAAACTTCTAAACTTTAGGCACTTGCCATGCCCAAGATGTTTTTTTTTAAAACAATGCAGATTAAAGTGAGACTGGGCTAAGGATAATTACCCAAATTTCAACCACAGTCGTGTGGCAATAAAGGAGTTAAAGGAATGAAAGCTAGGAGAAAAAACTCTGTGGTGCCCTCCCTTGACTTGGTGGCCTAAGCATGGGCTTGTTTTGCT